TTTACTCAGATAGAGAGATACAGAGGAAACATAATTTAAAAAACAAAAAATAAAATATTAACGCAAAGTTACAAATATATGGAATTTGTAAGAAATAACAAGCAAATAACTTATTTTAAATTACAAAAATAAATTAAGAAATTGGGAAGATTAATATGAATTACTTAGGTAAGTAATCAAATTATATACGGGAAGTACTAAAATTTTGTAGAGAATCTTAATTTTACAATATTTCTTTATAATAAATGTGACATAAGTGTATAGATACATATAAGTTATCAAATAAATTTCACATTTTAATTCACATGATAAATAGTTAATAATTTGAATATTTTCATTAAATAAAAAAAATGAAAAAAACGAAAAAGCAAAGCTTCCTACCTACACGCAAAATAAAATTACAATTTATATACAGTAAATAAAGATAATAAATTGTTACGCATGATAAAATTTTAACAAAAGTTGAATGCCATGCACATAATTTAAATTTTGTTCAATAAACCCACTTCTCTGTACATGTTATAACGAATTAAAAAAAGACCAAAAGGGTCAGTAATCTCATTAAATGAAGGCGCAACTGGTCGTTTTTTTTTCCTGACTAGAATGGAAGTTGATAGAACCCCACACGATTCAAGAACACACTCGAATTGTGAGGCACAAGCAATACCAGCAAACCTGGAACAACATCAGAAAAATTATTAGACTGATAAAATCGAATATACGTAACCCGAAGAAATTCAAAATTCGCGATACTTTTTGAACAGTTCTCGTATATGAACATTATAGGCTCATTTCAACGGTTTCAACTTAACGTTGGAAATCCGCCAACCAAGAATTAAAATTTCATTGGTTTAGAATTTTAACGACTTTTTGAACATGACTGAATGTGATTTGTGACGTTAGTAAGAGTAGCATTTAATGCAAAAACCGCCAGAACGAAGACATGAACCATTAACCGCAGTGGTTTTATTATCCGGTTATCCGGTAGCCGGCAGAATCACTAAACAGGGTATCTCTAGAAAAGATGTCAAATTATACAAGTTCAAGTTATAGAAATTTAAATAATAATTTAGTATAGGTATCACCTACCTCACATTCGGCGCTGATGTACTTGTAGTAGACCAAATTAATTCTTTGGGTCTCTGGTTGAGCCTGTCACGATATCATTTATATTCTACTATTGAACTGGACCGCACAAAACAGTTCTGTGCTCCTATTTGGAAACCCGCAGCGCTCCTTCTGCACCATCATTTGGCAGCATAAAGCCCTAAATCCAGACTAACTTCTGAACTGCATTCAACCCAGATAATTAGCCTGTTTTTTTTCTTGTGAGTGTTGCGCTGGTGAGCAGAGATCGTTATCTATAAGTATTTATAAATTTACAATTATAGGGTTGTTCGGAAAGTCATTTCGTTTTTTCCCGACAGAGGATTTAATTGTATTCTTTTGCACCCAACTTCACATTTAAGCCGTATAATTTTTGTATGCTTTGAGAGCTCATATAGCAAGGCTTGTGTGTGAAAAATTCCAATTAATTCTACGCAGTAGTTTTTGGTTGGTGCCCTTTTAAATATGGAGAGCGATAAGCAGCATTTTCGACATATCTTACTGTTTTACTACATAAAGGGTAAAAATGCTGTTCAAGCCAGAAAGAAATTGACTGATGTGTATGGAGGTGTGTTGAAAATCTGTGTCGCCGCATTGACGTCTGCGATTCGCTTCTCAAACGTCACGAAAATGATCCGTTTTTGAAGCGCATCATCACTGGGGACGAAAAATGGGTTGTATACAACAACGTCAAACGCCATGGAGCAAAAAAGATGAACCGGCTCAAACCATTTCCAAAGCCGATATTAACCAAAAAAAGGTGATGCTGTCTGTTTGGTGAGATTTTAAAGGAATCGTTTTTTTTTTAGCTTTTACCGGATAACACAACGACTAATTCGGAAGTCTACTGTCATCAGCTGGACAAACTGAATGATGCACTTCAACAGAAAAGGTCAGAACTAATCAACAGGAAAGGTGTAGTGTTTCACCAAGACAACGCGAGACCTCACACAAGTTTGGTCACTCGCCAAAAGCTTTTACAGCTTGAATGGGATACAATGCTACACCCACCATATTCTCCAGACCTGGCACCATCGGATTATTATTTGTTCCGGTCACTCCAAAATTTTTTAGACGGTAAAACCTTCACCTCAAATGAAGAGGTCAAAAACCTCCTCGATCAGTTTTTTGCCAGCAAAGACCAAAAATTTTATGAGCGTGGAATTATGCTACTACCAGAAAGATGGCAAAAGGTGTTGGACCAGAACGGTCAATATATAATTTAATAAAGTATTTGTTTATTATACGAAAACTGTCTTTCATTTTCACAAAAAAAAAAACGAAATGACTTTCCGAACAACCCGATAGTAGGTAATATTTTCATAGGGATATTGAACAAAAGAAAATGGAAAATGTGAAAGGCCATTTCAGAAAAAAGAATTAAAATTCTAATATACGAGAATTATACTAATATAAGCAAAAAAAAAACGAAAAAATATATTTGTTCTTATTCGGAGTACCTAGATGAGTATTTACTTAGGAAAAAACAAAAATTTGTGTTTAAAAGAATTTATTAAAAAAACGTAAATATCAGATTAAATCAACAAGACCAAGGCATAACACGCAAGAACAAGACCGAGACTGTATCAGCAAGTCCCAAAACCATAACAAGTATCAAGATTGAAACAATATTGGTCTTGGTCTTACTCTTGCTTTATTTCTTTACTAGTGGTCATTGACGGACTTCTAACATACAGGGTGTTTCTGAAATAAGTAGCAAGCTTGCAGGAGGTGATAAGGTACTGCAAAATAAGAAAATTAAGTAAATGTTTAGTAGTCCGAAAGCTCACCGTTTTCGTGAAAAAGGTATTTGAAAGTAGAGGCAACGACGAGTCCGACCCTGGTAGGATCACGCAGGGAACTACAACAATTAAACCCCGCATTCGATCAGCTAATTAGATCGATGTTGCTGCTCAGTTGTTATCGCAACTATGCACTAATACCTGTGATGCCAATTCAAGCCCAGGACCGGCTTCAGATTGCAATTTATCCTTTTTTCTTACAATTTTTTTTGTCCATTAAACATGCTTCCTTACTCACCCTGTGATTCCCTAATACATACACCCTCCAAAGTATACCATTTATTTCAGAAACACCCTGTATATACATAGAATATAAACTGTGATAGCGACAGTAGATTTCGTTTATAGTTTGGTTCACTTGAAGAAATTTTTTAAATAGGTACTCATTTAGGCAAAAAGGCATATAAAAGAAATGTACTATTTTGTTTTTCTTTACCTCTTGGCGGCGTTAAAGCATAGACAGGAACAAATGTAAGGGTGAGAAGGTAGGATTGAATTAACTTTCAAACCATCGGCGAGTGAACATTTGCATAACACCCACTTCATTTCATCAGAGCCGCTATTGAATACCAAGAACGTCTGCAATAAGAATTTCTGAAACAAATAAGAACAGTAGTAAACACTAAATTAAATTTTCCAACACGGTCGAATTGGTACCCAAAAGTAATAGGTAGTTAAACCAATGAACGAATTGGTTCGCTTGAAAGAAGAATTGTCACCCGCCCTCTTAATAGGGGTTGCTAATCAGATCTAACTATATTTTTATGAATGAATGTTAGAAAATATCGTAATATAAATATTAAGCATGACTACGTGTATTATTTATCACATTGCGAAAAGTAAAAAGCTTAAGATGTCGACAGTAGAATTTATGAAGAATGACGCGGTAATTGGTGTTGGACTATTATAAATTTTATATAAATTCGAAGTGGTCTGCAGCATTCTGTCGAAACTGCCAGACGCGGATCGCGATTTCGATCTTTTTGGATCTCATCAGCGCGTCGCAGACAGCTCCGACAGAACACAGACCAACTTTTACCTGCTGTCTTAACAGCGCGTTTTAGAAAATACCACAAATGGTGCGATAAACGCCATCTGTAGTACGATGCTACATTTTAGGATTACGTATGCTCCAACAAGGTCCATTTAAATATATGGATATCCACTAGCTGAAACGAATCTTGGCGTAGCTAACCTCAACGTGATAGGCACGTTACCATAATCGAATAAAATAATTCGAAGTGTATTTTGTTTCCAGAAGAAGTTTACTGATAGCGTACAAAAAACTTAATACAAATTTTTCGTTATGAAACACAGTATTTTTTTAATTTAATATACCCGATACTTACTGACTTACTTGATATTTTTCTATTTTGCCAGTATAGCACCTTGATCTGAAAATCAATTATAATTTTTTCGTATACCTCCCCATAAACCCCGCAAATGTTAAATTTTCCATCATTGTCTCTGGTTGAAGTATTTATTCCTATTGTTGCAGAATTGAATCTACTGTGGGTAATAATTCTAACATTACATTCGTTTTAATTTTTTACTATCATCGCCTATTATAATTCATTAATTGCTGCTGTCTTTTTACTTTTAAAGTTCCTAAAAAACAACAATTAAAGAAGCAATTCAACTAGAAATTGCTGACTTAGCATTTTGTATTTTAAGTGTAAAACTTAATATTTCAAATAGGGAAAAGTTTCATATTGTTTCTCCCATTTCAAATTAAAAAAAAAAAAAAACAAAAACAGAAAACTACCTACATTCAACAGAACAACATTAGTGAAACCATTCTTCTCATTTTAGAAACCCGTCAATCGAGTTTTTTACCTAATTAACATTTAACGAAAAAAACAAAGAAACGAATAAATTGCAAAAAATTAATTGCCCGCCTGCTGAAAATCTTTTATATAACAATTAAACAATAAAAGACTTCTGATATCAAAATTTGATGATTAAAATACAATACAATTGAACAAAAAGAAATAAGATACATTTGTTTCAATTTATTTTAAAAAGTAAAAAAAGACTATTACGTGAAATAAAAAGCTTCATTAACTGGAATTAGAGTATAAAACATACTATAACTAATGAAACATGTAGATTTTCTTACCTAGAGTCAGGGGCGGCCTTAGTCATTGGAATGTTCCGGGCGGGTAAATTTTTGCGAGGCCCTAGTCTTTGTGGAATTAATTTTAATGATGATACTTGAAAAATTCAAAGTGATTCATAAATAAGTTTACAGTTTTAAAATTGTTTATCGAAAATTAAAAAAAATTGATAAAGACAAAGATAGCAAATTTGCGGCTTCTTTTAAGACTATTAAGAAATTTAAATAAACATTAGTAGTATGTACTATTACTACCTAACATTTTTCTAATTACATTGTCACGCGAATGTGCGAGGCCCCTGTAAGAGCGAGGCCCCGGGCGGTTGCCCTGTTCGCCACCCCCAAAGGCCGCCCCTGCCTAGAGTAATATGATAGATGTTCCGATGGGTTATGCCTTATCATTACCATACCACACTGCAAACTCCCCAGTAAAACCTGAAAAAAATATCACCATTACAAAACACCTCTAAACAAGATAAATAGTTCCCAATAATCTTCATATATTTAATAAATAGCTAGATAGGTAGCTTACTAAAAATATTATGTTACAAAGTTCATTTACTTTACCTATTCTATACCTTCAAATGAATTTTTATTTATTTACCAAAATTCCTTAATACATGTAAAATATAAAGGACCTATAAGGGCATAAATGTCCGTACATAGGTTGAGCCTAAAACTAATAATCATTTCATCTCATTCCATTTAAATTTTAATCTGTACATCGAAAAACAATTTTAGGGTATACTTGTTTTAAATATAAAATGTAAAATATAAANATAAAATAAATAAATGTAAAAATATAAAAATTATAAAAATAAAAAATACAAAAATAGCGAATAGTATTTCTTACTCCCCTAATATGTTTTCATTTCTAACCTTTTCTATCCACGGTATTGTCATCATTCGCCTGTAACACCACATTTCGAACGCTTCTTACCCTTTCTTTTCCGCCGCGCACACCGTTTCGCACCCGTGCAGTGTCGCGCTCCAAACATACACCTTTAACAAGGCATCTCGACTCTGCGCTATCATTTGTTTTACATCTCAACTGCTCCTTCCATCCTGATTAGATTTCTGCCTTCTCTAGATACCGAAAATCAGCCACTTCTAATTTTTCCCTACTTTTTCTTCCCTTCCATACCAGCATTTTTGTTTTACTTTTATTTATTTTCATACAATACCGTTTTGTTCGTATCGCAGCCATTTTATTTAAGGCTATCTCAAACTCCTCTTGTAATTTTAAATGCAAGAGAATACTTATTACAAAACTTATTAACACTGATCTCAAAATACACACTGGATAGTTACGCTAGTTATGCTACTGTGTGTAGCAAGTGGGAATTGTTCCTGAAAATAAGCAAAAATGTTTTGAACGACTTAGACCTTCCATTTAATAAGTTATAGAAAACCTTTGCCCTTAATATCGCAATTTCATCGAAATACGACATACAAACATTAAGGCAAAAGCATTAAAGAAAGAAGTTACACATTGATGTATACGAGATACTATTTGTTTAAAAAAAAAAATTGAAAGGAATTTTAAATGGAGTATCCACTATGTAGATGTTTAATAATCCTTTCGCTAATAAAAATTCAAATTTACATGCAAATTTAGTCTTTTTCACTTGATAATTAATAAAATTAGCAATGTAGCAATTAGTGTAAAAGGATATAAGTGTGTAAAATATTGATAACGCCTACCTAACATTTTGAAAAATTTTCCATAGGATCTCGATTCCTAATTCTTGACGTTGAAGTATTTAACTAATATAATCACTGCGTAAAACTTCAATGTACACGTAATGTATATATGAACGTAACTCAAAAATTTCGGTTTTGATAAAAACTAAACCATGCCGTTCGTTAAATTATAATAACTACAATCACACACAACACTGTCATGAAGGACAACGCCTTAAAACGAATGAAGACGATAGTAAACGTAACACGTAATCGAGATAATAATTTCTACATACATTACCAACTTCGATTGTTAAAATTGTTATTCCACTATAATTATTAACAGTAACGTTTTACTCTTTTCAAAAGTACCTAATTGAAAAAGATATGAATAGGACAAATCAGTAAATTGTACAGTTTATAGCAAATTGTAATATTAAAACATCGAAAAAGGAAGAAAGGAGCCCTAACAGGATCTCTGGATCGCGTCGTTGTCCGTCAGTCTCTCTTTCAGGGCTCTTTTTCTCAGTAACGCATGGAGGTATCAAGTTGAAATCAAATTCCAATACTCAGCTCTGCAATCCCTTCGAGTTTATGTCGCATATTTTGACTCTCGCAAGGAGATAAAAAAATACAGAAAGAGCAAATGTAAAGATATGACACGAAAGATTAGAAAAAGTGGCTCAGTTTAGGTATCTAGGAAGTCAGACAGTCAGGACGGAATGAGTAGTAGGGATATAAAGCAGAGGGTAGCGCAGGGTCGCGTCGCCTTCAATAAAAAGAAGTCACTTCTATGCTCGCGAACGATTAATTTACAAATTCGAAAAAGATTGTTTGGAGCGCGGCTTTGTACGAGTGCGAATGATGGACGGTGGGCGCTGCGGAAAAGAAAAGGTTAGAAGCTTTCGAAAAGTGGTGTTACAGGTGAATGATGAGGATACCGTGGATAGAGAAGGTTGGAAATGAAGAGATATAAGAAAGAATAGGAGAACAGAGGACTCTATGGAAGTCAATAAGAAATAGGCGAGATAGGTTGGTAGGACACCTTCTCAAGGATGAAGGTCTAGACAAAGACATATTACAGGCAGAAACAGGAGTAAGGAGGAGTAGAGGTAGACCTACTGATTGTGGGATGTTTTAGTTTTAGGGAAATGCGAAAATTAGGTCAAGATAGGAAGGAGTGGAGGTGCGTGTCCCACCAGTCTTAGGATTCACGACCTTATGATGATGATGAAGGACATCAAAAGTTATACCAAGGCGTATTCTAAGACGCAACTTATCAGGATTTGCGCAGTTGAAAACCTAAAATGGGCAGTTGTAAATGTGGTCTTATGCAGTTAAAACAAGTCGATCCTTTGCCAATGCAAGTTAGCCCCAGCGGGAATAACATTTATACTGCTATAATGCACAAGTTCTACTAATTTTGGGAGGGCAGCTGTCCCAAACGTTAGCGTGTCCGCATCATTTTGTTGGAGAGTACGTACCTATACATAATAGGTACAGTTAGGTTAGGTTAGGTTACACAAACCGCACTATCTCCATACTAGTTGTACTTTTGAAAAAATAGCACTGTGCAGTTGTCAAATTTATAGAGTAGTTCCCGTTAACCTAGAGTCATGAAATTTATTGACAAGAAGTAATGTCTTATAGCAAAAGTAAAGGGAAAAATCAGAAAACCGTAAATTTGTAATTATGTAATTACATCCTAAAAATATAAATTTTCAGTTGTAATATTGAAATTGTACATACGTTTTGGGGACCGATTTGAGGGAACATACTCGGAAAAGGCGGGAAAATCCTCGAGACTTGATTCCCGTGACGGACAAATTATTTACATACGTGCCTTCCAAGGTTGTTAGAGAACCTCGGTGGGGGAACCCAATTTGCACTTTTATTTTTAAATACAATTAAATTAATAGTTATACACAATTATGTGTGCTTGTAAAGAAATTAAAAAATGAAATTAAAAGTCAAATAGAAACCTACCTACGAGAGTGGATTGATAAGTTTCCGGCCTGACCAAGAAAAACAAGGTTTTTAAAAATTTTTTTTTTTTATTTCTCAACATAATCTCCTCCAAGGCTGATACATTTCTCATAGCGGTGTTCCAGTCTATTAATGCCATCTCTATAGACTGATTCGTCAAGCTCCTCAAAATAACCATTTACAGCTTCGATTACTTCTTCATTGTCCGCAAATCTCTTACCGCCAAGCCATTTTTTGAGATTAGGGAACAGAAAATAGTCACTCGGGGCTAGGTCTGGAGAGTAAGGAGGGTGCGGCATCAATTCAAACTTTAGATCGTTGATTTTAGCCGTCGCAACGATTGACGTGTGCGCTGGTGCGTTATCGTGATGAAACAAGATTTTTTTCTTCGCCAGATGAGGTCGTTTAATTTTCACCTCGTGGCTCAAACGTTGCAATAAGTCTGCGTAGTATTGACCAGTGATAGTATTACCCTTTGCAAGGTAATCAATGTATATAATACCTCTTGCATCCCAAAAAACAGTAGCCATAACCTTGTTCGCCGAAAAAATTGTTTTTGCCTTCTTTGGAGTTGGTTCCCCTGGTCCAATCCACTGTTTAGACTGTTCTTTGGTTTCAGGAGTGTAGTGGTGGACCCACGTTTCGTCAACGGTTACGAATCGACGCAAAAATTCGCTTGGATTACGCTTATACAATGACAAATTTGCGGTAGAAATGTTTTTTCGAATCAATTTTTGGTCGACTGTTAGCAAACGCGGCACCCATCTTGCACAGAGCTTTTCCATATGCAAATGTTGGTGCAAAATATGTTGCACACGTTCATATGACATCTTACAGGTCTCAGCTATCTCACGCACTTTCAATCTGCGGTCTCCCAGCACTATTTGATGAATTTTTTCGATCATATCTGGAGTTGTGACCTCAACGGGGCGTCCTGAGCGAGGCCCATCAGAGGTGCTCACACGACCCTTTTTAAACTCGGAAACCCACTGCTTAACGGTTGAATATGACGGGGAGGATGTCCCCAGTGTTGAGTCCATCTCTTTTTTAATTTCCTTCGGCGTTAACCCCTTCAAATAAAAGTATTTGATGACAGCACGATTTTCCTGCTTTTCCATTTTTACGAAAACCACAGAGGCGTCTTGTTCAGCGTGCTGTCAAACCTACACTAGCAAGGAGATCGGGCTGAAACTATAGCTACAAGCTATCCAAGGATGGTACTATAGAATGTCACCTCAAGGTAGGCCTAGTGGCGTCATCTCTTGGTTAGGCCGGAAACTTATCAATCCACCCTCGTAAAACGACATCCAAGTTTTTTGCACGTCTAAAGTGGCGAAGATTTGCTTTATCTATTTTTCTGTCAAGGGAGGATTTTCTTTCTGAAACCCGAAAATCACTTTGGACGTTCAAAATTT